TCTTCTGTTTCTGTGCCTGTGTTCACAAAAGCTTTTAATTTCAGTGTTAAATCACAGTATCCTTTTTTTTTTAGTTTATATTTAACAGCTTGTTTCTTTGTTTCTTTCTTTTTTTAATCACAGTATCTTTTTGAAGACATTTTTAAAGCAGTTGAACTCAACACACCGACAATGCACTTAACCTCTGTAATATGCACCTGGCTCACGCAAACATGGTGACACTAAGTCACAACTGCCGCCTGGCTGACAGCCATTTTAAGAAACATACCAATTTCAGAGATGCGAAAACATGTTCATCTTAAGAGTAGGTTAAATACCCTTTCGTCTATACTTCCCTGATTTTCCAAGTTCTCTGTGAAGAACAATTAACATTTATAATCAGAAAAAAAGTTGACTGAACTCGTTTTGGAAAGCTGAATCAATTATGCAATCACTCAAAATTATAGTTTCTAAGCACTACAGAATAACAGGAGTAAAACGTCATGAAACAACATTAAGGAAAAGGGGAGAAAAGGCAGAATATTAAAAAAAAAAATCTGATCCATCACGTGACTATGACCATCAGAAACACACGTTCACATGGAAGAGACTGGAATGAAAGCTATCAAAATGTCAACTGCAGTTACCTCGTGGGGCTATAGATGACTTCTTTGAAAACAGCATTTTGTGGGTATTTTCCAAATTTTCTCTAAAGGACATAAATGTAATGCTGTCACATAAACCCCTGTCCCTGCTGAAGGCATTTAGAAGTGTTAGACACTCATTCATAGTTTTAAAATGTGAATTCTTGTTTAATTGAAGGAAATACTTGATCAATAAAGTGAAAGTTCACGCACACATATTCAACTCTTTAGAAAAAGCTTTTTAAAAAGGCATGGAGTTGGCTGGCAAGGGCTGTGGGTTGGGAGCTAAGGGGACGGCGAGCGCAAGGCCCCCTCCTGACCAGGCCTCAAGCTGCCAGCATCCACTCCCCTCCCTCTGTCCTGAGGAGCTTCTGGGCAGTTCCAGGCCCTCAGGAGTGGCAGACTCACCCTCAGCTCCAGGCCTAAGGGCAGCCACACTCCTTACTATTTTCACTGGCTCATGGATGTGACTTGATTCATAACAAGGGGCAAAGGGGAAAAAAAAATGACTCGCTGGGCTGAGAACTTCTGGAAGCCAGCGCCCCCCAGCCTCCCAGGCCGTGTCCAGTGGGCAGTGGGACCTACAGCTACTGATTATAGGCTCTCACAGAAAAAGGGCAGTCACTCCCCACGTCCTGCGGACCTCCAATTCTGTGAGCAAGGGCTTCCTAAATCATCCCACTGGTGACTTCCGTGGGCTTGGCACTTTTCAAGTTGTGTTGTTTCTTCCAGGTCTTGATATAGAATGTGCAGGGTCCTCGTGCAAAATAAAAATGCAGGGTTTCCTGTTCAATTAATCATCAAAAATTTCAAGACAGTCACGGCAGAGCTTTAAACCAAGGGCAGGGCCCTTCACAGCCGGGGGGCCCCGTGAGACCGGATGAGTCACATACTGGTGAAGCCACCTCTGCTTTCTCCCTTACTGGTTAGTATCAAGGAAGGCTCTCCCTTGGCCTTATGACTTCAGTTACC